GGGGCCTGCAAGAAGCAGCCAATCAATGATTCTATTTCATCATTGATGTTTCTATCTTTCTCTCTCTTGCTTCTTCTCTGAAATCAATAAATATATATATATTTTTTTTAATAAAAATGATATAAAATTTAAAAACTAGTTTGTTAATGGTATTTCATACCCTCTTATTTTGGAGTTTTTAACTATTGATGAGAAGTCTTATGTGGAATATGAATAGATTTTTCCACATCAAATTAAAGCAAAAATATTTTCATTAATATAGAATTAATAGCTAAGAGTATCATTAATAATCATAAGAACTAATTCTATGCCTTACACACACATTATTTCTATTGACTGTAATATTTATCTTTTTCAAATTTTACTTAGAAATACTTGTTTAAGGTCAACTCTTCAGAGTTTCTTTAATTAATTAATTAAACTAGTCTTCCTTGTATCTGGTTTAAGTCAGTGAGAAGTTCTAGATTAAAGTTACAGAAATTCTCAAACTTTGGAAATTATACACACGGGGTTTCACGCACATGCACTCAAATGCACTGGATTTAAGGCCCTGGATTAACTTAAAGATTTAAGGACATGGATTTTGTATAATAATAATGTATTTCCATGAAGGAGATATCTGTGTACTAAAAGTGAAAATGAATAGTAGAATTGTTGACCTGAAGGCATTATTAGCCCCAATGATTCATCATTCAGGATGTTCCTTGCATTAATAGTGTTATCGTCACCTTTAACTTGTAGGCATTGATATGAGGCATCTATTGACATGAGCTGGGGATATCCTATTCTCTGGTCTCATATAGTTGAGCCACACTGGGCCAATATTTCCACTTACTTCTCACAACAACAGTGAGGTAGTTATTGTCAATATTTTGAAGAAACACTGCACCCTGCAAACTTCAAAGAACTACAAGATAATAACAAGATGATAAAAACCAATGCATGAAGGATAAGATTAATATGGATCAGACTCAGTGCTTTAGAATGATATATGCAATATTACAAAATTAACAATTAGGAGAAGACAATTAAAATAGAATATGTATTTCAAACAGGCTCTGAGGTGATGTCACTGCCAATATCATCTAAATACATTAATTTTGGCTATATTTATCCATTAACAGTACTAAGCTCTGTACTTTAAAAAATTAATTTAACCATCAGAGGACAACTTTGTAGTAATACTATTATTATTCCTATTTTACATTAAAGAAATTGATGCAGAGAAAAATTAAAGAACTAGCCCCAAATTCACCCAAATATTAAGTGAGAAAATTAGAATTAGAGCTAAATTTGGTTTAGCTCCAATGGCATAATTTTAACTATATCACCTGTCCCTGGTAGATACATCTGCATAATCACCTCTCCTTATCCTCATTGAGCATTAGGGCTGTTGCCTGCTTGTTAGCAATTCTGTTCTTCAATTTAAAAGAAAAATGCAAAGTAGTAAATATTTACTGAGCATCAGAGTGTCAAGCAGAGAGTTTTGCAAAGTGCAATAAGAAGCCACCAACAGTGGTTTGCTTCACAGCCCCTGCTTAGTAATTGTTTGTTCATTGATTAGTAAGCATGCTACTCAATGGGTGGCTAGCAAAAACACCCTTGCAAACACACAAGAAAGTTAAGGATAAATTGCCATGCACATTCACAAAGACAGAAATAGTGACATAAGTTCAGATTTTTTTCTTGAAATGCAGCTGTCTATTGGATACACTTTACGACGTAATCACTAGTCTAGAAGTATGAAACCTTTACACTTTCAGGAATATTTCTAATATGCACATTGACTTCATGTACTATGGATGGTTTTATAATCACGTTATGCTACCATTTAAACTTCATACCAACTTTGGGTGAAAAGGAGAGAAATGCATGACAAACATACTCTCAAATTAGGAATTTGAGCCCAGGTTCTGACAGCTCAGTATGCTGAAAATGGTGGGGTACATTTTCAAAGCAGCATGCTCTAATTTTGCCATGCAGCTCATGTTTATTTTAATGGTAGTTGCACAGTGAAATCACTACAAAACATTCAGAACACTTACCCAACTGTGTCTACCACAGGAAAGGGAACATTAATTAAACTGAAAAAGGAAATTATTGCTTAACCTTAGCCAAAAGGATGTTCTACCATTTTGCTTAATTTATAATGCTTAAGCTTTAATAAAATAAATAGGAAGCAACATAAAAAAAGATGTTTAAAAATGTAATTCTATATGACATGTGTTGTGATTCAAACAGCAGTGTATCTCAGGACATTAAATAACAGTATTGATCTATAAACCTATTAGTCTTTGTTCTTTAACAGTCAAGAATTCTAATTAGTCATAACCATATTAATTACATTATTGAAAACCCAGTGGAACAAAATTAGGAGAGTTTTACCTCATCGAAGCGTCTCTTTCCTCAGAAACTATTAACATCACATCACAAACAAAATATGTTAATTTCACACTGGATTTAAAAAATAGGTAGGACCACATCTCCAAATTAATGATTCATAAAATCATTTGCAGCAATTAGCCTATCAGGAAAAATGCTGGTAGCTCTTTTATCACTGTGTAGTGTGATACTATCAATTTAAAGTCTATCTTGTAAGGGAGATATATAGATATGTAATTACTAGAGGCCCAGTTCATGGAATCCGTGTATGGTTGGCGGGGGGGGGGGGGGGGGGGGGGGGGAGCCCTCAGCACAGCCTGAACCCTCTTGCAATCAGGACTTTTCAGGAATGTCTGACTGCTGATTTAAGCCCGATCCGCGGCAGGACTGGGCCTAACCTGACATCCAGACATCCCTCTTGCAATCTGAGACCACTGGCTCCTAACTGCTCGCCTGCCTGCCTGATCACCCCTAACCACCAGGGCCAGCTAGGGTGAGGGGCCGTGGTGTTCTATTCTCTGGTCATTCTACCATTTCAGTTGATGGATTTTTATTATATAGGATTTTATTATATAGGAGAGTATATATATATATTAGATGTCCAGTGCACAAAATTAATCTACTGGGAGGGGGATTCCCTCAGTCCGGCTGCACCCTCTCACAGTCCAGGACCCCTCAGCGGATGTCTAATTGCCAGCTTAGGCCCGCTCCCCCCGGGCCTAAGCCGGCAGTCGGACATCCCTCTCACAGTCCAGGAGCCCTTGCTCCTTACTGCCCACCTGTTTGCTGTTGCTAACTGCTCAGCTCACTGCTCCTTAGCACTGCCGCAGAGGCAGGGAAGGGTCCCACCACCGCTGCTGCACTCACCAGCTATGAGCCTGGCTTCTGACTGAGCAGCACTCCCCCTATGGGAGCACATTGACCACCAGGGGGCAGCTCCTGCATTGAGCATCTGCCACCTGGTGGTCAGTGCACATCATAGTGACCAGTTATTCCTTCATTTGACTAATTTGCATATTAGCCGTTTATTATATAGGCTAATTCACTAAGGCCTGCCAGGTTTTTAGGATTTGCCTTCCCATGTACAACTATAAGTGTCAAAATATGAGGTAACATTCAGGCAGGAATTTTCTAAACCTCTTTCATCTACCTGGGCCTAATTATGAGACCTGTGGTGATAGTAAGAGTTCCATTGCTATATGTGAAGTATATTTCACACAATGTGTATGCATTGCAATGCCCAGGCAAAGCAAAAGGGGGAAGTGGGGGTAGGAGGGAGACAGAGAGATGCCGTAGGCAGCAGGTAACAGATGTTCTTCCAGCCACTCTTTGTCAGGAAGCAGTGAAATCTCTGTCTGAATTTTATCTTGACACTTAAAGAAATGATCGTGTCTTTGTACTTTAGTTGCACTCTAATGAGAATGTGAACATGCTTGCAGATTTTAACTCACAAGTCCCACAGCACCTTTCTTTTGAAAGCAAGTGATAAACATCTTTTAATTCAGAGGATTATAGAGTATATCAAAGGCTATCATGCATTTTCATGGCAATAAAAACACAAATAGTCTTTTTCGCTTTCTCTATGGGCATCTAACATGTCATTGAATGGCACTAGGCCTTGGACACGGGGCAGAATGAAAGGCCCTCTACAAAGTGTTAGTATAAATTGTTTAATACACATGCATGGTCATGCCAATATACAGTCTAACTCTGTGCTTCCAAAAACCAGACAGAACTGTATATGGATGATGTCTGGACCCATGCAAGGATCAAGTAATTTTAAAAGGAAGATAACTTGAAAACAAAAGAATACAAATCAACCAGGATGATATGTTACAAGAGAACCAGTTAACATTTTGCTAACAAGCATAACCAGGTAATCCCTGTTCTGCCTCTATACAATATTAACTTGGGCAATAAGTTATTAATACTTTTCTGGGTCTCCATTTGTTTATATTTTGAACATATCAATATTACCAAATTAGAGATGCAATATAATGACTTACTACGGTCATAGTCTTTGGCAAGTAATTTAACGCTGGAAAACTCACCTTTCCACCTATGAAGGAATATGGAAATGGCAATCATCATTCCCACATCATTAGATTTCTCTGAGAATTAAGAGTTATTTTATACAAAAGACTGGTACCTACAGCAATTAGTATCATTATTGTCATAGTTAACTGAGTGTTTAAAAGCATACTAATTTTTATGGCATTTTGAAACAAAAATGAATGTATTTCTTTTTTTAGCTTTATTGATCTTATAATTAACAAATAAAGCGATATTTAGAATATACATCTTGACAATTTGACATGTGTATACACTGTGCAAAGATCCTCTCCCCCCCGCCCAGCCCCCATATAGTTCCAGAACCTCACATATTTATCCGTTTCATTTGTTAGGTGAGAACTTTTAAGTTATACCATCTTAGAATACATTTATTTCTAAAGCTTAATAAAATAAATACTACTATGTTAAAAACATGTTTGGAATATAATATGTTCAAGTCAAGTAATTTTTCCCCTTTACAATACCCAACAACTTTGTTGTTGTTAATCCTCACCTGAGGATATTTTTTCTATTGATTTTTTTAGAAAAAATGGAAGAGAGAGGAGAGAGACAAAGAGAGAAAGAGTGAGGAAGACTGAGAGAAACATCAATGTGAGAGAGACACATAAATTGGTTGTCTCTGCACCCACCCAGCATGGGGCCTGGGATGGAATATGCAACCCAGGTATGTTCCCTTGACTGGGAATCAAACCCAAGACCCTTCACTGTACCTGCTGACACTCCAACCGCTGAGCTATATTTCCCAGAGCTATCCAACAGCTTATATGCACTATAATTATCCAAGAGGGAAATGCAGCAATGTACAGTTACCCCTAAAATGCTTGGCCACAGAATCTTTATTTCAGAGAACAATTTATAGGAAGAACCTTGTGACAAAGACATTCTGAAAATTACTGAAGATGATCTCGGAGCTAACTGGGGTTTAGGATATTGCGATTTCAAGTCTTTTACATGAAACACTTTTCAGAACACTATTTCCTTGGCTCCCTTTTAGAATAAGTAGAAATAAAGTGAGGGGACTGGTACTTAGAACAGTTTTAAGGAAGACTTAGCCACCAGCTATGGTTTCCCTGCATTAATTTCCTACATGGCATTTAGGGTTTGTCAAGGATGATTTTTTTCCAAGTTTCCATCTACATTTTCTGGAACTCAGATTCCTGGCTGAGGAATGGAGACTTAACCCTTGCAATTTACTGAATTGTGAATCATGAATGAAGCGCATGGATTACCTTACCAAATAGTGATGCATAGCAGTAATTTGATCAGTTATTATAGCAATCAAAAGTCTTTCTTTTTCCTCTTAGCTTGTCTTAATTTCTTAAAATATACTATAATTAAACAAATGTTTAGAATTACTTAGAACTGATTATTATTTAAATTTAATATAGAGTCACAAGTTTCAAATATCACTTGCTTAAACTCTTTGGTACAGCAATAAACCCTACCAGGGCTTCAAACAGCAATTCCTTAAATTGGTTCCACACTTTTTCCCCAAGTCATAATTTGAATTTTTAGCTTTCTATTTACTTCTTTACAATTTAAGTACATCAGTAGCTATTATAATACAACCTCTCTCATTAATAACCTGCCTTCTTGTGGCACTATTTTGTAAATACAATGAATTTTTCATTCTGACCTGGGATAATTGTTCATCGCAAGATACTGTGATCAGGATAGAACTTTCTTATAAGTAGGTATTGTTATCTATGTTCTAAAAATTGAGGAAATTGAAGCTATGAAATGTTAAAAAAGAAAAAAACTGATCAGAGCTTATTTCCTGCTAAGCTATAGATCCTTCAATTCAACTAAATATTTCCAATAATTCTATTAGTAGATATTATGCTCATGTACAGACAAGTAATTAAAGTACAGAAGTTACTTATCTACAGTCACATAGCTAACAAGTTCTGAGGTGAGAATTTAAACTTTGGCCATGTGATTAGAAAGACACATACTTAATTACATGACTGTGCGATATCTCTCAGCTCTAAATAACAATTTTCCAATCCTGAGGCAACTAATAAGTCATTTACTTGCAAAATCCTATATAATAAACACCTAATATGCAAATAGACCGAGCAACAAGACAACTGGAACAATGGCACAACCAGTGGCTGTTACGTGCACTGACCACAAGGAGATGCGTGCACAGAACATGGTGGGCATCGGCCACAGCAGGATGGTGGAGCAGGTGAGGAGGATGCCAGACCAAGGCAGGGTGCTGGTTGCCATCATCAGGGCAAGCTTCTGGTTGTTACTAAAAATTATTTGCTTCCGCATGCTGTGGTCCCACCAGGCGCTCACACCCACTGCCACTGCTGGCCTCGCTTGCACCCACAGTCGGCACCAGAGCTGCTATTTGCATCTGCTGCCGTTGCTGGGCACCAGTCCTGATCGCTCTGCGCCATCAATGGGTGCCAGTGGTGGCTACTAGCCCCAATTGCCCCTGAGGGCTTCTCCACTTCCCTTTGCTCCTGAGGGGTGAAGCAATCAGGGCATCAGTCACTGCTCACACCTACTGACTGCATCGGCCCCAGTAGCTCTGGTCAGTGGGTACAAGCCAGGCTGGCACTGTTAGCACATGGAAGCAGTGAGAGAGGTGATGAGAGAGGGCTGCAGGCATACAAGGAACTGGGGGTGGGGGGAGAGAGATCACGTTGCAGGAGAGGCCAGGTGGGGGCATGGAGGAAAGAACAAGACCCGCCCCTGTGCCTACTGCAGCCTTGGGGCCCACAGTTCCTTTTAAGATGCACGAATTCGTGCACTGGGCCCCAGTATAATAATAAAACAAACATTCTTAAGTGGTCACTTGACCCAATTTTTTAAGTCCCTCAGCCATGATCCATGTGTAGTTTCAATACAGTCAGTGAACAATAAATACCACATAATCTCACTCATTTGTGGAATATAAAGAACATTACAAACTGATGAACAAAAATAGATATAGAGGCAAAGAAATATCAGATTGTCAAAGTACAGTGGGAGGCAGGGGAGGGTTGAGGGAGGAGTAAGAGACCAACCAAAGGACTTGTATGCATGCATATAAGGATAAAGCAATGGACACAGACACTGGGAGGGAGGAAGCGAGTTCGTATGTCGGGAAAGGGGGGTAGGGGAGGCCAGGGGGAGGTCAATGGGGAATAAAAAGAGGCATATGTACTACTATTGGTAACATTTTAAAAAAAAATAATAATTTTTTTTTTAAAAATCAATGATCAAAAATGTTATTAATGAACATCTACACTATTGGTATAATGTGGAGAAAATCATGCAGGAGACAATGAGTTGGCATGTGAGACAACATTAGAACTTTTATTTTAGAATAAAATAATTTGATCATTTTAACATTTATATTTTCTGGGTTTTATGATCCTCATATCAATATAGCATGCACTTATATGACTTAGAAATTAATATAACTACATTGAGGTGCATGCTCATAATTATTCCTATTAAATGATGAGATTCACAATCAAAAATGTTTTGACATAGCTGAACTAGTATACTATAATATAAGAATGCCATTCTGATAATAAGATATTTTCTAATTAGAGAAACTACACAAGAAAAAAAATAGCACATTTAGCACTTATTTAATATTTATACATAGTCTGCACTGCATCAGACACTGCCCCAAGTATAAGAGTACATTAGTAAATAAACAAAGTTTCCTTACAACAGATAGACCATGCCCACTTCATAATATAACATGTGATGAGTGCTATAGAAAGAAACAGAAGAGCAGGGCAAGGATGGTTAGAGGCAGGTTCCAGTAGTAACAATTGTTCATTGCATGACACATGATAATTGTGATGAGACAAAACAATGTGTAGCAATTCCAGGACAGAAAATCAATGTCTGGGCAAGAAGAGTAAAAAGTAGGCAAACATAAGATAACCAATAATGATCAATGACTTTGCAAAACTCCCCTCCCTGTTGTGTGGACCAAATGTGTAACTTACTTCTAACCCAGAGGGTATGGTAAAAGTGAAGGGATGTTGTACATGCAATTGAAGTCCCTAATCTTTAAGATAATGTTAATGGAAAGGTAGGTATCCTAGGTGGGCCAAATCAAATTAGGTGAGCCCTTTATCTTTGAGTGAAAGATTTGAAGCAGCAGAGATTCCATCTCCATTGCTGACTTTTAAGAAGCAAGATTCTGTGAAATCACAGCTGCAAAGAAATTAATTCTGCCAACCACCCAAGAGAGGACACAATCAGAAGCCTCTCAAAGGATACACTGCCTGGCCAACATCTTCATCTCATCCTGTGAGACCATGAGCAGAGCATCCAACTAATCTGTGCTTGACTTACTCACTCACAGAAAAACGTGAGCTCTAAATGTGTATTGTTTGGGATCGATAAGTTTGTTGTAATTTGTTATAAGCAATAAAATAAGTAATTCATTAGTAATCAGATGAGACAAAAGTCTGACTGAGTAACGGGGCAGTTTGGTGCAATTAGACAAAGGCATGTCCCATAGAGGATATGCAGTCTTGTGGGCTGAAGCTTAAGGAGAGCACAATGGTTTTCTGCCAAGTAGAAAAGGCGACCACCCCAATGAGTGGACGTAGCCCTGTTCCAGGGGACATAACTTAGTGACATCACCGCTAACACTGCATCGGCTGCTCCTCTGAACAAACAGAAGCAATCATCAGGGTAAGGTTCAGTAGAATGAGGGACCAGCTAAGGAGAAGTAGATGAAAACTGCATTTCAGAAGAGTGTCCAAAGGCAACAAAATACACATGGCAAAACAATAAAATGTAGGCAGCATGTAATGTTAGAGTGAAATATTAGAATATACTATCTAACCCTGGTCAGATATGTGACCTAACCGTGACTTCTGTGGTCTCTGCCATTTGCCACTTAGCAATGCACTTGGCATTCTTTAAGCTATCACTTGCAGAGGACAACATAGTGGTTTTATGACACAGTCTATTTATGAACAGTGGCTCTGGAGGCAGAAGGGTTAGCCCAAATCCCTCCTCTGCCACCTTTTATGTTGCCTTCACCTTTTAGAGTCTTCGTTTCCTCTATTGGAAAATAAGGCCAATAGCATATAATAGTCACTTAATTGTTACAAGGAACCTGTGGTATAAGGAATGCAATTTGCACTCTTCTCTAGCATATAACAAGGGACTATTTAATAATAGCTATTATTCTCCAAGGTCATGTGGCTGTTAGGTGGCAGGAAAAAGGTTTATAATTTATATCCTGCAGAGAGGCTGGAGAAAAGAAAGTTGGAAAGGAATTTGTAGGACTCAAAAACTGAATCAAAAGCCATAGAAATGGAGGAAATATGGTGAAACAGAAGCAAGTGACTAAAGAAGTATGGGGTCTGAGAACAAGGATTAACCAAAGGCAGTTCTATGATTATATATATATATTATTGATTTTTTACAGAGAGGAAGAGAAAGAGATAGAGAGTTAGAAACATAGATGAGAGAGAAACATCGACCAGCTGCCTCCTGCATACCCCCCACTAGGGATGTGCCTACAACCAAGGTACATGCCCTTAACAGAAATCGAACCAGGGACCTTTCAGTCCGCAGGCAGAAGCTCTATCCATTGAGCCAGACCGGTTTCAGCAGTTCTATGATTTTAATTCTAGAGCAATATGAGATAAAATTCCTAATGTTATGGGAAATGTAATAAGGTTAGCATAGGAGAGGAGAAGGTAGATGTGAAATGACCAGGAAAAATATATTTTTTACATATATATATTGTGCAGATGACTAGATTCAAAGAGTTACAATTAGCTATTGAAAAATACAAAGCTACAAAAGAATTTAAGAAAGACAATTGCATTTTTAAATAATATAAGAAGCTAACAATTTAGCCTCTTATGAAAAATTGACTAGCAATAGTTTTGCAGTATACTGGGTATTTTCAGGGAGGAGAAAATTGGGTTATTAAATGACAGTTTTCTCTTAAGCCCTACAGATTGTGTTCTATTACCAGTTGATACTTTCAAGTTATTCTATTTTTACTGGCAGTACACCTCACATGAATAACACAGGAGGCATCCTAGTTTTCACATGAACTGGTTGCCTGACTTTACAATCTTTAATGCAGATCAAGTTACTCTAAGAAAATAAAAGTGGTTATAAATTATTTTATTCCTGTAGTGATGAATGAAAGAAAATGATGAATAAATGTAAAGCCCAGCACTGTTGATTAAGTTACAATGATTGAAATGCTATAATCCATTTGTATTTTTATAAAGAACTTTACTAAAAATAACTTATCAAACTTACAGACCCCTCTCTTCATGTCAAGACTAATTTTATCTCTATATACACCTTTCTCAGTTTGGTTTTGCCACTAACTTGACCAAATGTATCCCAAATGCAAAGCACTGAAGCAGGAAAGTCACATTAGAATTTTGAGATCTATTTTCTATTCTTTTCCCCCCTATCTTTATATCTTCATGCTAAGAATTGATGTTTACAGTAGTATAATAAATAAGAATTTGTTAAAATAAATGGAAAGGAAAATAACAAATAAATCTCTAATATTGGTAATAATGGCATTACCTTCCAAAAGTTGAGAAGAAATTTCCATTAAAAAAAATTGTTAAAGTTTTTTTTCTTTCTTTCTTCCTCTCTACCCTCCTTTCTAAAAACTTCCATCAACCAAGAAAAATTGAATGAGGACATTAGTAAAGAAAATTGTTCACTGTTAGAAAAAAAAAAGCATTTATTTTTTTGATCCTTGCATTTCATAAACTTTTGGTTGCAATTAACCATGATTACTTGCATTCATGTCATATCATTTGTAATTCAATAAAGTTTTCCAATTAACATTAATTTTACACTAATTACAAATATTCAATAGAAGGGTTAATCAAAACCTTCTGGAAAACAACATCCATCCATTGTCTTCAAAGAAATGTGTAACAAGCAGTTTGTCATATTTTTGGCAACCTAATGATTGGCTTCTAAATCAGGCTGTTATGAAGCTAAGAGTACTCTAAAAATCTTCTCTTCATGTCCAAATTAATTGCATTCATATGCAGTTCACATCACCATCACGGTGACTTATTTTACATTTTAATGTTTTCACAAGTTTATGTGAAACTTCTTGCACCTTCTCCTTTAATGAATTCACAGCTAAGATTAACCATTTTGTATCCTGAGATAAGTGGAGGCTGGAGTCCCTGGCAGACACCTGCCATCAACGTGCAGTAATCTGGCAGAAAGCTAAATGGTTAGTTCAATTGTAGTTTCTATAACTGCTGAGAGTTTTTTGAAAGGAGGATTTTTTTTTAAAACTTCCTATTAAAAACACAGAAGAATGCCATGTATTGGTATCCTTCCCAACAGAAAGATTCCAGGTCTTCCTGCAGTGCAGGTGATTTTTTTTCCTTCTCAATACAAATGGAAGTGATCACTTTACAATGTGGTAAATAAACCAAAATCTGTTTGAAAATATTTATATAAATGTCCCAAAATGGACTCTAAACACCTACATTTCTTGAATTGTTCAGTGACTTATCCTTTAATAAAAAAATAAGAAAAAAATGTCCTAGCTCAACTCTATAAAACAACACACCTGCTTTCAGATCTATTTTTTTTAAATCTCTAATAAATATAATAATAACTCAATAAGTCAAACCTAAACAATTAATATCAGGACTTTTAAATTCAGGTAATTTTACATTTGGAAGAAAAGTTATGACACCTTCTTTATTTTGGATTTTAAAACGTCAAATTAGTTCTAGGTCCATATTATAATTAGAAGCAAAATGTCACTTCCTCTCATAGGAAAGTTTGTACTGCTACAGATCAAGCCATTAACAATATAACTTTGAAATAATATTTTGCTTTTGTTAAAATGTAGTGTTCAAGTCCTAGCTGTGTCCAATTGGTGATAAAGTATCAAAAATTCTGTTAATGAGCATTTGTGTAAATATATAGTACCTGTTAGAAGAAGGGCTTGCTTACCTAGCCGTTAATATTTGTCAAGCAAAAAGAAATAGGGTGCATTGAGCCATGAACTACAAACTCGTCCAAAGTTTACTTTACCTATCAGAATCTGAAGCCAGCCAGAAAAGAAAGATACTACTTATTTTCTAACAACTGACAACTTATTGTTGGCATGTTTACTTTCATGCAGGAAAGGGTCCCCAAAGAGGAGCCAGCTCAAGATAAAATTATAATTCAGTCCTACCTTTTCTTTTCACTATCCAGCCTGCAAACTAATGTTGGTGCTCTGCTCTTCAATAAACAGATGGAAGAATTCTGCTGTGAGGCAGAATTATGCAATAGTTTCGTTATCCGACAAAGGTATTGAGGAGACAGAAGGAAGCTGGGTAAACAGGGAATGACCATGGGAGTAGGAAGTAAAACCCAAGAACCCTGCCAGGCGGAATTGCTAAGGCCCCGCTGCTGGTGGAAAAAGAAGGGCATGCACACAGCAGACAAAAGCTTTAAAGTCTATGGATGTTGCTAAGACAGGCCGCTTATAGATAACCAATCACAAGGGATTGAGGCATATAAACCAATCCCAAGGACGTTGCTAAGGCAGAATTCTTTGAAAGGACCAATCAGAAGCTAGCAAGCATGTATCTACGCCCTAGACCCGCGGTAGGCAAACTGCGGCTAGCGAGACCCATGCAGCCCTTGGACCCCTTAAGTGTGGCTCTTCCACAAAACACCATGGCCTGGGAGAGTCTATTTCGAAGAAGTGACATTAGAAGAAGTTTTAAAATGTTGGTTCTCAAAAGAAATTCAATCGTTGTACTGTTGATATTTGGCTCTGACTAATGAGTTTGCCGACCACTGCCCTAGAAAATATATGCTTCTTCTCTCTTTCTCTCCTGGCACACAGTGGGTTCCTGAGTTCCAATGGCAGGGGATGCGCTCTCCTGCTACCCACGTGGCCTACGGCCACAAGGGACTAATGGCCTTTAATCGGCTTGGATTCTGACACCCAGCTGCTACATGGAACTGAAGCTCTGACACTGGTCTGCTTTTGGAACCCCAGCTACATCTTTTCCGGCAATGGGTTCTCTCAGTAAACTTTGCTTCCACTAACCACAAATCCATTTGTCGATTTTGGGAGACATTTACTCAGACTCCAATACCACATTTGGGTTTCAGCATGACTCTCACTGTTATCACTTACTCTCTCCAAACATAAATTATTTAGCCTCTCTAAGCCTGATTACCATGTCAAATCTATCAATAGACACAATGATCCTGGCATCAGTGGGTTGTGGGGAGAATTAAATAAAATTAAATTTGTATAATCTAGTTGTCTAAACCGTAATAAGATCAACTGTACAGTTTGCCCATAATTCACTGAAACATTTTCCTTTAAGGACCAGTTGGACATAATGGTAGCTCCAATTCCTGTATCCTAGCGGAAATCCTAAAAGGAAATAAGGAAATAAATGCATTCACAACTAGAGCTTTAATGCCATAGTAATGTTTGCTAATAACTAGTAAACCCCACTGGCAATGGACCTTGTTCAGCTATCCATGGACTTGACCTTGGACCTGGGGTAATGTCTTACTACTGAACTCTGATCCTTTGTCTTCTACAACTTGGTTCTCTGTGGTCCCCCACAAACTTCCAGGGCAATGTAGTCCGTCCTATTCCTGGACAGAGTTCTCAGTGGTGAAAACCTGGAATAGTGGGA